AGAATTATTCTCCTTTTCTGGTAATACTTAGTTAACCCACAATGACTCCATTTTCTGGATTGCCTTATCACACTGCTTGCTGTTTTGGGTGGGTCTTGTAAGCAGTGACTCTAGTAGTGTTCAATCTAAACTAACTCCTCTTTATTTGTATCAGTGACATTTAATTGTAAGATTTTATATTATTGGCTTTCCATCCATATGTTTTAGTTAGACATTAATTATGACACAGGCTTCAATAACAACACTTGGCATATTCATGATCTTATGAGTGCGGCAGTGGTTTTCTTTAGGTTTCAGGTACATCGTTGGCCTCCAATTCTAGGCCTTTATGCTTTGTTTACCTTACAGCTATAAATTATATTCATTTTATTCTATGCCTAAGCAGTTTGTCTGTCTGTGTGCCTGTGTACCATGTATACTTAGTGCCTGTAGAGGTCAAAAATGGGCATCCGATCCTCTGGAACTGGAGTTGTGAATAGTTATGAGCCTCCATGTTGGTGCTGGGAATCTGACTGAGTCTTCTTTAAGAGCAATAAATGCTCTTAAGTGCTGAATCCTTTCTCCAGATCCCTAAACTTACTTTTATTATGGCTTGATTTTAACATTTTTCTTTCCCCTTGGAGATGGTGTTATGTAGCTCAAGCTGGTCTCAAACTTGGTATGTAGTGGAGAAAGACTTTCTACTCCTGATCTTCCCGTATCCAGTTCTGGGATTTTACACACTGCCTATCATTCTTAGTTTGGAGTTATTAGAGCCCTGCCCACTATGTGTGTAAAATGCATTTTAAATATTATCTTTGAGAATTTCATACTTGAGTACACTGTATTTATATCATTTTTATCCCTTCCTCTCTTCCTTCATCCTCCCTTCGTGATTCCATTTTTTATTTATTGTGGGTATTGGCATGAGTGCCACAGGGAGCCTGTGGAGGTCAGAGTACAACCTTGGAGTCAGCTCTCTCTTAGGCTTCTTATCCCACTCTGGGTTCTGGGAATTGCACTCAGGGTGCCAGATGTTCATGGCATCTACTTTTCCTGCTGAGCCCTATCTCGCCAGCCTTATGGGACCTTTTTGAAATATAATCATATTAAAATGTATACATGCATGTTGTGTATTGTTAGTTTATAGTGTATTTAAGCATTCTACTACTAACAGCACTGTCTAGTTTCCTATATTTTACTATTCCAGAATGAAACATCTTAGCCATTAGCAGTTATTACCTGGCTTCCTTCTATGCTCTGGCAGCCGTTACCCACTAAGAAATTTGCCTATTTCACATTTTTCATCTAATTGGGATGTTTAGATGGCTTTTTGTGTCAGGCTTCTTTCCTCTTAACATGGTCTTTTTAAAGAAAAGTTTCTTCCAATTTCCATTATGCATCAATATGTTACTATTTCTGTTGCTAATTAATATTTTTTGTTGTATAGAGAATATACTTCATTTAACATATTAAATGATAGTACTTGAGTTTTTATTTTTTTGTCACTGAGTAATGCTGCTTTATATATTTATATACCTGTTTTGGTAGTACATATACTCTCATTTTTCTTGAATATACTACAAGTGGAATTGTTGAGATCAAACGATAACTCTTATGTTAAATTTCAGGAGGGTGTTTTTCAAATTAGCTGTACCTTTAAGTCTCCTCAGAAGTGTATGCCTGTTCTCATTTTTCCATGTCCTTGTCAACATGTGTTATATCCGATTATATCCATCCTTGTCGGTGTGAAATAGTATTTCATTGTGGTTTTTTAAAGATTTATTTATTTATTTATTTCATGTGTGAGTACACTGCTGCTGTCTTCAGACACACCAGAAGAGGGCATCAGATCCGCATTACAGATGGTTGTGAGCCACCATGTGGTTGCTGGGAATTGAACTCAGGACCTCTGGAAGAGCAGTCCATGCTCTTAACCACTGAGCCATTTCTCCAGCCCCCTCATTGTGGTTTTGATTTGCCTATTTTGATAACAAATGACATTGAACGTCTTTTCATGTTCTTTTGGCTATTTATATATTGGTGGAGAAATGTTTATTGATATCTCCTTCCCATTTAAAAAAGTTTGAGGAATTTTTATGAATTCTAAGTAGAAGTCATTCATCATAAGTATTTTGGTTTGCAAAAATTTTCTTTGATTCTGTTTTTCTTTTTCCTTAATATCTTTTGAAACATAGAAGATTTTAGTTTTGATAAATTCCAGTTTAATCTATTTTTTTCCTTAGGTTGCTTGCGATTTTGATGTCAATAAAAATACATTGTGCATTTTTTAAAAGCCAATATCCTACCATGTAACTGGCTGGCCTCGAATTTATAGAGCTCCTGCTTGCTTCTGCCTCCTGATTGCTGAGGTTAAGGATATGCCACCATGCCTGGAGGTGAGCACAGGTCTGTAGCTTAACTTACGGTTAGATCGTTGATCCGCGTTGACTTTGTGCTTGTATTTGGTATGAGATGGAGACCCAGTTTCTTCCTCTGATGTATGCTATCTAGTTCCAGCACTGCTTACTGAAAGGACTGTTCTTACTTATGAGTTGTTTACTTGACTATAGATGTAAAGGCTTACGTTTGGTTTATCAGCTCTGTTTCTGTCTATTCTTAGTCTTATGCCTTTTTAAAGATAATTCTTATAATCTCTGTGAGTCTCCCAGTTGTGTTCTTTTCTTTTCTTTTTTTTTTTTTTTTCGTTTTTCGAGACAGAGTTTCTCTGTGTAGCCCTGGCTGTCCTGGAACTCACTCTGTAGACCAGGCTGGCCTCGAACTCAGAAAGTCGCCTGCCTTTGCCTCCTAAGTGCTGAGATTAAAGGCGTGCGCTACCACTGCCCGGCTTGTGTTCTTTTCAAGATCATTTTTGTTGTTCTTCCTCTATGCATGTGCGAAGACCAGAGGATAACCTTGGGTGCTTTTTAATGATTTTCTTTTAGACAGGATCTCCCTACTGCCATGGGATGTGTAAATTAGGGGAGCCCAGCTGATCAAGGAGCCTGAGAAGTCTTCCTGTCTTAACTTTGCCAGTGTTTCAATTAAAAGCATATGTCACCATGCCATGCTTTATTTATGTGGGTTTTTGGAATGAAAGTCATGTCCTTATGATTGTAAGGAAATGTATTATCAAACTGTAGCAGGAGGTAGTTCTGGGGACTCTTCTATGGATACAGTATACCAAGTGTCTTTCAATAGGGTTGCAGCATGGTAATGGGCTCCAGGGATGGTTAGGACTGTGAGCTTCAGCAAAAGCTTGTGGCAGGTGGTGGTGGTGTGGCAGGTGGGATAGAGCTGACAGACCAATGCTCACTAAAACAACAAACCAAAACCACCCCACCAAAACTGAGTTGTGGTGGGAGGGAAAATGACAGAAGAAGTGATGGAGAGATAGAAAGTACATTTTATACAGATAATACATTCTGAAAAGATCATTTTAAAAATAGAGATGTTTCTTTTTTAAATATAGTTTCTTTATTTCAAGTATATTACAAACTTTGAACACATTTAAATAATTTTCTTAGTTTCAAAACAGCTTAATATTAATGCTTTTCCTTCATATGACTTTTATAGATTAATTTTTATGTTTGTGAGTACTCTATTTGCACATACACCTAGAAGAGAATATCAGATTCCATTACAGATCGTTGTGAGCCACCGTGTAGTTTCTGGGAATTGAACTCAGGACCTCTGGAAAAGCAGCCAGTGCCCTTAACCATTGAGCCATCTCTCCAGACCCAAGATGTTTCTTGATTATTTCTAGTTTAGTTGTTCTTTATTACTTTTCCTTGCCTAATTGTCTTGCTAAGTTTGTCTTGCATGTCTGTCGTTCAGTAAGAAGTAGTGAGAATAGATTATTTCTGTTGTGTTTTTGACTTTAGGGAATGTTAGGACCACAGAGGTCCCTGTACTCACAGAGAAGCACTAAGAGAACCAGGAGTGTTAATCATGCAGGGGTCTCTTCTCAGTGGAGAAGATAAAATCAAATCCCTGCACTCTATCCAGAAAGCTGAGAGTAGATTTTGTTAAGAACTTGGTGACCTTTTCGCTATCTGTGGACTTCACCTACTTTTGCTCTAGATATAGAAACTCTTCCTTCCATAGACTGTTACCCATCCTTAGGCGAGATCTCATATGTACTTTATGGCCTGCTGACCTCTTTGCTACTGGTCATAGACCACATTAGATTCTAGGCCTTTTAGCTATAGAACACACCCTCGTGGTCACATGTACTTTGTAAAAGAGTCTCTATGGAGTTAAGCGTTCCTGTGCACCTGGAATTGCATTGATTGGACTGAATGTTGCTTGGAAACCATTCCCCAGATTGTACTGTGCTTTAAATATGCCGACAACGAACTGACTGGCATTAGACTCTCTGAAGTCTATTCCAGGTTGACACAGTCAATCTGCACTAGGTTTTCATTCTTGTCTCTTTGTGAGGTTCACATTCTTGTATAACATCTGCAGGGGCCCCGTAAGGGAAAATCATTCAGTCTTTTCCCCTTTCCCATTAATTGCAGTGTTAGCTTAGATGTTTTGTAGGGTTCCATTATCATGGCAAGGATCTTTTTTCCATTTCTAGGTTACTTAGTGTTTTGTTTTTATGAAAGGGAACTGTAATTTGTTAAATGCTCTTCCCTATGTCTCTTCACATGATTCCAGGTTTTCATTAACATGGGGTATTTTGATTGATTTTATTTTTCAGATATTAAATTAGTATTGCTTTTCTGAGATTCCTCTTGCTCATGATATATACACGAGTTTCTATTATGCTGAATTTGGTTTGATTTTGTTTCATTGATTTTGGTGTTAATGTATTTTGTAGTGACAATATATTGGTCTATAATTTTCTCATATTTTTGACATTTGTTACTAGAGAAGTACTGACATTGCATGCGACTTGAAAAATATACTCGTTCTTACCTTCTAGTTTTTAGAAGGGATTATAGACTGACACTAATTAATTCTTTTTTAAGACTAATCGTATTTAAATTCATTTCTTTTTTTTTTTTTTTAGGATTCTCCTTTTACAAATGCAGGGATAGGATCCAATCTAAATCTGTTAGGAGAGATCGAATGTGATGCCAGCATAATGGATGGAAAGTCCTTAAACTTCGGAGCCGTCGGAGCACTGAGTGGTATGTGGGCCTTATGACAGTTCCCTATCTGAAAACTGAGGCTGTTACCATTTCTTCCTTCTCAACACGGAATCCCGTGTTTGTTTCTTTGTTTTTTTGTTTATTTTTTGGTTTTTCAAGACAAGGTTTCTCTGTGTAGCCCTGGCTGTCCTGGAACTCACTCTGTAGACCAGGCTGGCCTCGAACTCAGAAATCCACCTGCCTCTGCCTCCCAAGTGCTGGGATTAAAGGCGTGCGCCACCACTGCCCGGTGGAATCCTGTATTTGTATTCATTTGTGTTTGGTAGAACATTGAAACAGTCATTATCCTCCTTTACTAAATTAAGAATATAAAAATCTTAGATATAAGGAGTTTTGAAAGAAAACGGTGTTAGGGATGTAGCTCATTTGATAGATCACTTGCCTAGTTTCTACACGGTCCTCAACAACAACAACAACAACAACAACAACGACAAAAACAGGCTGGGCGGTGGTGACGCTCGCCTTTAATCCCAGCACTTGGGAGGCAGGGAAGGGGGATTTCTGAGTTCGAGGCCAGCCTGGTCTACAGAGTGAGTTCCAGGACAGCCAGAGCTATACAGAGAAACCCTGTTTCAAAAAACAAAACAAAACAAAACAAAACAAAAAGAAAAACAACAAAACAAAAAAGTAAATATAACAAGTTAAACAGAGTGTTCTATGTCCAAGTTTGGTTAGTAGTATATCACTCGTCTCTTGTCCTTAAAGAGATTATAGGCATTTAAGACTTAATTCAGAATAGTCTATTAACTTTGCAGTTTGAAATGTATTAGCATTAATACATTTCATGTGATACAGATAAAATTTACTTTTTATTTCATAAGTCTTTCCTTTCTATCCCTCCCCCCACCTCCCGGTTATTAACCAGTAAAAATCTGGGTTATTGATATAGTAAAGATATATTCTGTAGGTAATGTTATTTAAAAAAGTGAATGTTATTCTATATGCGTGATATGTGTGCGAGCATGTGCACATGTGCACCACTGTGCGCATGTAGAGGTTAGATAATAACTTTTAGCTCTCTCGTTCTACTTGGGTTAGGAAGGATCTCTCTTGGATCCTGTCACATTGTACACGGGAAGCTACCTGTCTCAGGAGTTTCTAACCAAATTTCCCCTATCCACTCATCTCCCTATAGGAATTCTGAGATTGCAGACACATGCCACACCATCCATCTTTTCTTTGTGTGTTCTGGGGCTTATTTCAGTTCCTCAGCCATGTGTGGTGGCCATGTTTTCCTGTGAGTCATCTCCGGCCAAATGTATATATTATAATGAAACAGAACTCCCTCTGTCTTTTTTCCTCTCTCTTTCTCTCTTCCTTTCCTCCTCTGTTTAAAGCAGAGTCTTACTGTGTAGCTTAGACTGTCCTTGAGCTTGTTTTGCAACCTAGGCTGGCGATGATTTCATAATATGCCTGCACTAAACTTTTGACTGTAGAATTTTAGGTTTGCAATACCCTGCCCACTGCTGTAACTTTTCCTTTTAAATCCTAGACTTGTGGTTGTATTTTACATCAGTACATAAGAGATTTATTTAATGGTTTATGATTCATTTAAAGGCACATTAAATGGACAGATTTTTATCTGTAGATTTATGAAGTTTCTAATGTATCCAGACATATACACATAGATCAAGACATTATCATGTTAGGATTTAGATCATTGAGCTGGAGAGATGGCTTGGTGGTTAAAAGAATCTATTATTCTTGTACAGAACCCATGTCTAATCCCCAGCACCCTTTATGATTTTACTTTAATCTACCTTTAAATCCAGGTTAAAGGGAGCTGATGCCTTTGTCCTCTATAAACACCAGGGCCTCCCAGTTCATATACAGAACATTTTCATAATTCCAGAAAGACTCTTTATGCTTCTTGCTAGTCCATACATACTGTTTCTCCTCCACCCCCAGACTCTGATTTTGAACGAATTTGTCTGCTCCTGAAATTGCTGTGAGTGGACTGAGACAACTGTGTATCTGGTTGTTTTCTTCTTAACATTATGCATGTAAGATTAATCCACAGTTTGTGCCAAAGTAATTAATTTTTTCTATTGCACGTCATTTCATTGCTTAGACATTGCGTAACTTATTTCACCCACCATTTCTTGAGACATTTGCCTGTTTTAGTTGTAGACTATTATCAATAAAGTTATAATAAGTGTTCTTTTACATGTGTCTTGAAAAAATATGTGCTACTATATCTTGAATATATCCTAGGATTTGCCAAAAAGTATTTAGCTTTATGCCTTAATTAGGGTTTCTATTGCTGTGAAGAGACACTATGACCAAGGCAACCCTTACAAAGGACACATTTCATTGGGCCTGGCTTACAGTTTCAGAGGATTAGTCGATTATCATCATAGCAGGAAGCATGGCAGTGCGCAGGCAAACATGGTGCTGGAGGAGCCAAGTGTTCTACATGTTGATCCATAGGCAAGAGGAAAGGGGACTGTCTTCCATAGGTAGCCAGGAGGAAGCTCTGATTCCACACTGGGCAGAGCTTGAGCATAGGAGGCCTTGAAGCCTGCCTACACAGTGATGTACTTCCTCCAGCAAAGGCACATCTAATAGTGCTGCTCTCCTGTGGTCAAGGATTGAAGCACGTGGATCCACAAGGGGCAAACTTATTCAGACCACCACGGTGTATTACTGTTTTGCTAGTGGGTGCTGCTAGTTTTCAAAGTAGTTGCTGCATTTATATTTCTACCAGCGGTTTATGAAGATTTCTGTAACGCTACACTCTTGCTCATTTTTTGATTATTATTCTTGAAAGGAAGCCATTTTGATATTTCTGTAGATGTGTTGTCTTGAGTTTTCCTATGATTAATGATACTAAGTGTCTTGTCTTCTACCTATCCAACCTTTAGAAGTCCTTGTTGTAAAGTTTTCATTTACAACATTTTAACATTTTTATTGAATGTTCTTTTTTTCTTCATAGACATACTCTGTATATCTAAATAAAAGTCCTTTGTCAGATACATGTATCATGGGAGTTTTCTCCAAGCTCTTACTTCCTTCTTTCGCTTTCTTAATGGTGTCTTTGAGTGGACATCTTTTCTATTATAAATGTATTTAAGGTATCATTTTTTTTTTTAACCTTTATTTTATGTGTATGGATATTTTGATTGCCTGCTTTTATGGCTGTGCCCTACTTGTGTGCAATATCTACAGAGGGCAGAAGAGGGCACTAGATACCCTGAAGTTGGAGTTTAAGATAGTCATAAGCTGTATGGGTGCTGGGATGGAACCCAGGTTCTCAGAAAGAGCAAACAGCCAGTGTTCTAACTGCTGAGTTCTTTCTCCAGCCCCAGTTTTCTTAAACTGGCTAATTATTGTATTTTAATAAGTTGTACCCATCCAAAATTAGGAAGCCAGTCTCCCTTTATTTTCTTTATTAATTTTTAAAAATTGTTTTTACCTTGAGCATTTAGTTTTTATATCAAGTTCACATTAACTTTTGTGTATTTTAGGGGGTCAGCATTTGCTTACTTTTTCCTGGATTTGAAATGACTTACTGCCCTTTATTGAAAAGATATTTATTGACAGATTAGGTGAAGCCCATGGGAAATGGCTTGTAAGTATACCCTGTCATAGCTGGCCTAATACTCCAGAGCTAGGATTTTCTCTGTTTGAAAAGGTTTGTGTATCATTGAAATGATTTTGTTGGTAATTATTCCAAATTATTATTTATTATTATTTTACTGAGAGTCTCATGTAGCTCTAGCTGGCTTAGAACTCACTATGTAGACTTGGCATTCTTGGTTGGCAGGTTGGTATAAATCATTCTTTGCATTCCTGACACTTAAGAGATCCAGCATTTCAGCCGGGTGGTGGTGGCGCACGCCTTTAATCCCAGCACTTGGGAGGCAGAGGCAGGCGGATTTCTGAGAGAGAGAGAAAGAGAGAGAGAGAGAGAGAGAGAGAGAGAGAGAGAGGGAGA